TGGTTATCTGCAAAGATCTGTTCTAACGTGCGACTCATGTGATGCACCAAGTTAAACAGACCGGGGTTAACCAATGGTAGTTATTAGGCACTAATTTCATAGAAGTTCGAAGTTTTTGTGACAGTTTTAATCGTAAGAAATTTATTCTAGTTGACTTTTACCTAATGATAACTAAACTCAAGTATTGATTTTGTAATTAGGTTGTCTCAGGAGGGCAAAACTATCAGGATTTATCCAGCTTGTATTAGTTCAGCTAGCATGGTGTTGAATATAGTGCATTCAACAATTTAAGTCAAAAAAAAAAAGCATCGAAATTAAAGTTCACTTTGATTGGAAGTGAAAAATTACAATCAGAATTGAATCGGTTCGAAATTGAAAGAGGATTAGCTTTGAATAGCTCAAGTCAAAGAATGAATCCAACATGACTGATAATAGGAGAAAAAGTATCTGAAAGTATCCTTCCAGACATTCATTGTTATACAAAAAAGAAAAATAGATAGAAAAAAACTCACATACATTGTAGAGTAGACCAGAAAGAAGAAATAAAAGTGAAATTCTGCATTTTGAAAATGGTTTGATAAGAACAAGTGTGGGATTCTTGTAGGACACTAGGGAGCTTAAAATCTTATAACATGTATTACAAAATCTATTCTTTTCTCTTCTCCTGCAAGCAAAGTGTCGAACAACATTGTATTCCCTTTTATTCCCACTGCAGACTCTGAATGGACGATAGCACAAAGAGGGAAAGGTCCTGCTGGTAGTTCTCAATGCAAGGTGATATCTTCTTGCATAACATGGGGGTGCTATTTTTTTCTTTTTCTTTTGTATTATTATTTTTATCATTCGCACCACCTCTCAGTGTACGACTTGCACTATATATGAAGTCTTTGAATGATAAAATTTATTGTTTGGCTTCCTTCATCTACCCCTAGTCTGTTGGTCAGTTTCAGTAGATGGCTCTCCTCTTTTTCAACTTGTACAGAAGATGAAAATGGTCAAATACTCTCACAAGGCATATTCAACAAAAATAATTTTGGAGGAATTCAGGCTAGGGTTCATGCTGCAGCAAGGGACAAATTACACACAACTCAATTACTAATTCGTTCTGCCCCTACTGATCCTCATATGAATGTTCAAGAGTATCAAGACGTGAGGAATTTGATGAATGTTCTAAAAAAATGAAGCTTGATATATGCAACAAAAAGCAAGAGTCAGTTTGGATTAAAAAAAAAATGGTGATCTCAACTCTAATTTCTTTCATGCATATGTGAAGCAAAAAAAAATCTACTAATCTCATTCATGTTCTCTATAAGACTCAAGGGGTCAAGCTCACTACTCAGACTGATATTCAAGAGGTAACTTCTCTCTTTCTACAAGGGGCTTATTGGTTTATCCTCTCATGTTCAGTCAATTGATAACAATATCCTCTCTAGAGGAATTATATCACTGCTGATCACTGCATACAACCATGCATGCCTATATCTCCTTCTGAGAGGAATTATATCACTGCTGATCACTGCATACAACTATGCATGCCTATATCTCCTTCTGAAATAAAATCTGCAATATTGGCTTGAAGAGCCCTGGTTCTGGTGGCTTCACTTCCGAATTTTTCAAAGCTTCTTGCCAAGTTATTGGCGATGATGTAGTAAAGGCAACCCAACACTTTTTTCACAAAGATAGAATGCTCAAAAGCCTTAATATTACAGTTATCACCCTTGTGCCAATCTAAACTGCCCAAATTATGCTTCAACAGTACACTGACAGAAAGAATCTGTTCCAAAGTCAAAAGGTTCTATACATATGACCAACAACGAGAAAATAAATGCAATAGCTAAATGATGATGAGCAATATCAGTCATACTTTCATCCAATTGCACGTTGTAATATTCTTTACAAGTGCATATCAAATATTCTTACCAATAGGTTGAAGGGGATAATGCATTATCTTATTAGTGACAACCAAGGAGCATTTGTTCGAGGGAGGAATATCTCTCATAACATACTAATGGCACAAGAGCTTCTCTACAAGTACAACAGAAAAAGGATCCGTCCAAGATGTGCTCTCAAGGTAGATTTAAAGAACCTATGGTTCAATTAGCTGGCCTTTCCTTGATGAGGTGCTACAAGGTTTGAAATTTCCTCACAAATTCAGGAGATGGGTCATGGAGTGTCTCACTTTTTTATCATACACTATTTCTATCGATGGACAAATTTCTCCTCTTTTTCCTAGCGCTAAAGGGGTTAGACAGGGAGACCTCATCTCTCTCTTCTCGTTTATTCCCTCCATGGAGTACCTTAGTAGAAGCTTCCTTGATCTCAGTCAATCAACTAGTTTTAAATTCTATCCAAAGTGAAAAATCTATGTGTATCTCTCGTTTATGATTTACAAACGACTTGATGCTCTTTTGTAGAGGTGATTTGAACTTAGTTTCTCAAATTTTTGGCAGATTTGCGCACTTGTGTAATGTATCTAGGCGATGTGCTAATCCTACCAAGAGCCAAGTATTCTTCAGAGGAGTTGATCACGCTGCAAGATAGGCTACTCTCTAACTTC